CTGAGACGGGTCTTGGGATTGACTTTTTGAGTTAACGTTTTTACCTAAGTCAAAGATCGTCGCTTTATTAATTGGAATCAATTCCTATAGCTTTTGTTGATAATATTACATTATTTTTGGCTAGATTCGATCCTTCCGGAGGCCGATACGCGTGGAAGGGCTTGATAGCGGAGTGATTTGATTTATTTGAGGTAAGTATCATATTTAAACTCGGTTTAGGCACTAGTTACCTAAATTATTGTGATAACTACACGCTAATGGTGCGCACATGCGTGGGGATGAACCCATGTGCGAGCACCGGGGTCATTTATTCATGTTCGGGTTGTGCTCGGGCTCTTATAAGCCTTGAATTGACTGTTAAGTTTTAAGCTATGATACTTCTCATGTTCGTAACATTTTGTATGATCTATTTAAGCCATGTTAAGGCTACATAGAGGATTAATCCCTGATCGAACTTGATAAATGCTTTTTCAGTGATGAAATTTTCGATTTGAGCTATGATAGCACACTATGCACATGCCTACACGTTAGCACATCATTTATACGAGACCAGGAGCATGAGAATTGTTATTCATTCATCACATACATGTATACTTGTTTATTTGCTCTTGTATGATATGTTGGACTGGAGGCATGTGACCATACCAGACGGATTGTGATATTGGCACGTGAGTTATCCGTGCAGCATGTGAGTTGTCCGTGAGGATCCATATATTGATGTTATTGGCATGTGAGTTGTCCGTGCAGGTTCTATTATTAGCACGTGAGTTATCCGTGCAGCACGTGAGTTGTCCGTACAGCGTGTGGATATGGGTTCATCTCCCTAGGGTCACCCTCTCATGTTTCTCTCTTGATGGTGTACACACGATTATTGAGAATACTGATCAGTGATTTGGAACGGATATGGAAAGTTGAGAGAATCCGACTAGTGTTGTGTGGATTTTGCTTTTCCTAGATCATTTACCTGATTTAACTGCTTATCACCTATATATGCCATGATATTGTCTGAGCTGAGTATTTGAGAAACTGTACACATGCACACACGACTGTTTTCTTAAGAAACTTGATGAGTAAATTTTCAATATTGTTCTGTAACGGTTTAAAAGATGGAACTACACAGGTGATAGCTAGTATCATTAATAATTTATGCTTCTCTTACCTTGCCATATTTATTTACGATATTTATTGAGTTAGTTGTACCCATACTACACTCTGCACTTCGTGTGCATATCTAGGTGCTTCCGGACACAGAGGTTGCTAGTGTTGGAGCTTATTCAGTTCTGAGACTATCGAGGTAGCTGTCTTGGCGTCCGCAGACCTTGACTCTCCTCTTTTTTCTTTAGTTATGTTTGTACTGTTCTATCTTCCTAGATAGTGTTTCCGCAGTCATACCATGTTATTGTATAGATGCTCATGTACTCAGTGACACCCGGACTTTTGGAGAATTCTGTAATGAGTTGCGATGATTTCTTTCAGTTATTATGAGATTTTATTTACTTAAGCCTATTCATGTATATTTAAATTAAAGATGCATGTTATTTGTGAGTTTTCGGCTTGCCTAGTATCGCGATAGGTGCCATCACGATACATGTAATTTTCCACATACTTAGGGGAAAAAGGAAATTAAAATGAGATAATGATGAAACTTTCCACACAATTTCACTTTGGATTTTCTTTTTCTCTCCCCCTAATTGTGGGAAATTTATTTTATCAAACCGACAATCTGTAAATCGAGCAGTAAATAAATCTTCCGTCAATGGTTCGAGATAGTGAGGTGATTCAAACCCAACATATTTTCCTATCCTTATCTGGGGGCCATCTTACTGCGTTGTGGTGGTGCTACTGGCACATATACAGCACATCCAAAAATTCGCAGGTGAGCAATATTTAGTTTGTGATCAAAAACTAATTATAACGGAGAATATTTATTATAATGTGTCAGTCTGAGACAGACAAGTAATGTTGCATGCAAGATAGCATGGCCCCAAACAGTTGTGGGCAATTTTGTTTTCATCAGTAGTGATCTTGCTATCAATTGCAAGTGTTTAATAAATGACTCTGCAAGGCCATTTTGAGTATGAACATAAACTATAAGATGTTCAATTTTTATCCCAACTGATAGACAATAATCATCAAAATCTTGAGATAAGAATTCTTCAGCATTATCAAGGTGAATAGCCTTTATAAGATAATCTGAAAATTATGCCCTTAATCGAATTATTTGAGTTAATAGCTTTGCAAATGATAGGTTGCGAGATGATAGTGGCATACATGAAATCATCTTGAAGATGCATCTATTAGGACCAGAAAATATCTAAACAACCCAATTGGTGGGTGAATAGGTCCACATATATCCCCATATATACGCTCTAAAATGGCAGAGGATTCAATGCCAACCTTCATTGGTGATGGTCTAATGATTATTTTGCCTTGATAACATTCATCGCAAGAAAATGTATCATTTGTAAGAATCTTCAAGTTCTTTAATGGATGCCCACTCGAATTTTCAGTAATTCATCTCATTATTATTGATCCAGGAGGTCCCAAACGGCCATGCCAAAGCACAAAAGTATTTGAATCAGTAAACTTCTGGTTTACGATAGAGTGTGCTTCAACTGTACTAATCTTTGAATAGTATAAGCCAGAAGATAAAGCTGATAATTTTTCTACAATGCACTTGTGGCCGAAAATATTCTTTGTAATACAAAGATATTTCACATTCATTTCATCTATCATCTCAACTGATACCCATTTCGGCGGATATCTATAAAACTCAACAAGTTTCTTCGGGATTTGGAGGAGAACAATTCATTTTCTATAACAAGTTTTGTTCCCTTAGACAGAAATATAGTGGCTCTTCCGGAGTCTTCAATCAAACTTATATTACTAGAAATTGTAGAAATATTTACTTTTTTCCTATGCAAATAAGAAAAGTATTTCTGATCTTTGAATATGGCATGAGTTATTCCACTATCAATTACATAAATATCTTCATGATTATTCTTTGATCCAAACATAATTTGAGGATTATCCATATTCTTCAAAATGACATAAACAAAATAAATATTATAGAAAATATCATTATCAAAACTTAGTTTTTATTCATGTACAATAATTACATAACCATACTATCTAATATAAACAACAAAAATTAAAATATTTAAATTTTATATATTCATCACCGATCACATGACTTGTTTCTCCTTCTGGGAGTGCAAAGTAATCAGCTACATCTAAATGCATGAAGTCAACATTATCTTCAGAAATAAAATTTGCTTCAGCATTTTTCTCTTTCTTCTTTAGGGAGGCTTGATAAAGCTCAACCAGGTGCTTTGGCGTACGACAGTTACGTGACCAATGCCCTTTTCCTCCACATCTATAGTATGCATTTTTTGCATTTTTTGCTTGCACCGTTTTATGCTTTTGTTCCTTTTTTTCTACTACTGGTAGTGAGGAGAGTTCTTTGGTGCATTATTATTACCATGATTAAAGTTTCTTCCCCAACCACGACTGGGGCCACGACCTCTTCCACGCTTAGCTTGGTGGAAGTTCATCTCATTCACTTCAGGGAATGGACAAGAACTAGGAGGTTGTCTTTTATGGCTTTTCATTAATAGCCTATTATGTTGCTCAGCCACAAGAAGATGTGAAATAAGTTCTGAATATTTTTTGAATCCCATCTCTCGATATTGCTGCTGCATGAGCATATTCGAGGCATGAAAAGTGGTGAAAGTTTTCTCCAACATATCATGATCAGTAATATTATCGCCACATAATTTCAATTGGAAAATAATTCTGAACATAGCAGAATTATACTCACTGATAGATTTAAAATCTTGTAGCCTTAAATGAGTCCAGTCATAACGTGCCTGTGGAAGAACGACTATCTTCAGGTGGTCATATCTATCTTTCAAATTATTCCACGATATAACTGAATCTTTAATAATAAAATATTACATTTTCAAACCCTCATCAAGGTGATGGCATAGGAATATTATTGCTTTGGCACGATCTTGATTTGATGCCTGGTTTTTATCCTTGATGGTGTCTGCCAGACCCATCGCATCAAGATGAATTTCAGCATCAAGCACCCAAGACATGTAGGTTTTGCCCGATATATCCAGGGCTACAAATTCAAGTTTAGAAATATTTGACATTATTTAGACAAATAAAGTTCGTACCTTCGATACATTCAAAGTATTTGCTCGAGATGACAGAGTCTCATATTGATAACGTGTTATAAAATAAAAAGTGTAAACTAAAGACAAGTATAGAGAGAAACTGATATATTATTCAACTTCAAACTGATATAAATAATGAACTGAAATCTCCTCTATTTATAGAAGAAAGGAAGCTGTTGTGGAAGCTGTTGCGTAAGCTGCTACTGCAAGCTGCTGTGTAAGCTTCTTGTAAGTTGTTATTGTACCAGCTATAAATAATCTTCTATAGGAAGTAATATTTATCCATAATGGAGTACTGAAATGATAAACTTCTCCAGGAGGCTTATTTCTAATAGAGTACTAAATAGATGAACATATTTACGGCGGAGTCGAATATGGATAAGCTTCTTCAGAAAGGTTATTTACAACGGAGTACTAAATGAACATCCATAATATAATATATTTATAACAACCTATAATATCTACTAATGAAATTATATATTTCGCTTTTAAATATTTAATTTAAAGGAAATTAAGAAATTTTTATCCATGTTAACATGTTACCAAAAAATTACCAAAAAAAATTCAATACAAATCCTCGCACTCTGAAATTGGGCTTTTTTCACTTTTACCCCGCTACAGTTGAAAAATAGTATAAAATTTGTATAATTTTTATATATAACATACATAATAATTTATATATATATATATATATATATATNTGCGAGAGTGAAGTGAATTTTGGGCCTATCAGTAGTTTGTTGAAAACTACTATGAATTTGGGCCGATCTACAAAGCTATCTAATTGAAAACAATAATAAGAACAAAATATTAAAAAGGCATTGGAATAACAGCTAACATAGACCTACCGTTCAACTTCATAGATCAATGATCACTTTTTTGGTGTAGAAAATCACCGATCAGAATTGAGTTTGAAGTTAAATCCTCCTTCTTTCTCTAACAGATAAAACTAGTATGTGCTAAAATTCATAACAAAATTGTGATTTATATGTTATTATTTATCACAATTTTGTAGATTTCTTTGACTCATGTCTCTACTGAATCAACTCTTCAACAGGGGACTTCAAGGCTCAAAATGGTCAGTCAAAGACTCCATCTTTTTGTCTATCAAGAATTTAATCGATATTTTTATTTGAATTTTTGGTTCATATGTAATAAAAGGTAAGAGCTTTATGTTTATGGATTTTTTAAAATTTTCTGAGATTTCAATGTCTTAAAGCCCCAAACAATGGGTTTTCAAAAATTGTTTTGTGTTTACATGAGTATGTTAGTGTTTTGTTGAATCATAATTGATCTCCTTAGATTGGAGTCGTGTCCTTTAATGCTATAGTTAATCTTTGTATATAGCTTATAATGTTACAAACTAATTATTCTTGTTACTATGTTAGAGAATGTAGAAAATATCTAGCTTCAGAGAACACCTAATTAGTCTGTAAAGAGAAATTACTAAGCATTGGAATGAAACTGGTCCGAATGAAGCAGAATGGTTAATGAGGATTCGTATAACCCAACTTATTAAAGAGAAGATTCACACCACTGACCCCAACTAGTTCGGGAGTGAGGCTTAGTTGATGTTATATTCTTGTGACTCTATTTGTGAATGTAACTATTGATATTGGTGGATGGTTTTGTAGCAAGACATGCTTGACCTTGGCGATCTCACGAATCAAATTATTACAAAACAAGAGAGATGCACAGCTCAAACTTATGCGCAAAGAGATAGCCCAATTTCTGCAAGCTGGCCAGGAAGCCATAGCTCGAATTAGGGTAGAAATTCTGAGGTACTTGTACTTGTTAATCATTCCATTACGTTTTCCTCTTACTGGTATTTCTTTTATACAGGTTGAGCATATTATACGTGAGCAAAATGTATGGGCTGCTTATGAGATTTTGGAGTTGTTCTGCGAGTTCGTTTATGCCCGCGTGCCTATACTCGAAAGCCAAAAGTAAGTTATTTTTTACTGGACTTTGCTTTGAGAATGAAGTTTCATTACTTATTAGGTCTGCGACTTTGCGTTGTAATAACATTATTTAGCCAATTGAGATTAGGAAATGTTTTGTAGTGGCAAATGTGGTTTATGTTCTTATGTAGAATGTTCTCAGCTTAAAATTAGCTTCAGATATCACTTTCAAAAAAGGAAACGAATTAGCTTCAGATACCCTTTTCAAGTTGATTTATTCATCCCTCAGCTAAGTATAATATATGCAAGGTTATACAGTTATTTTCTTCTTCTCCTCTTTCAATTTCAGGGTTGGGGCGTGGGGGAGGGCGTTGTTGTTCTAATGTGATTACCAACCAATTGAGGCTTTCTCTATAATATTCTTATATTCCTCAAGGCATTTATTATCCATTTCTTTCACATAGAGACTCTAAGTTAAGATCATGTTCTAGTCTGTCGGTTCATTTAATACTAGCAACAGCCACTTGGTATCTTTAATGAAATTTTCCAGGGGTAGTAGGAGTATCCCCTTCCAAGTAAACAAATATCTTCCACATGCTTTCTCCTCTAGGCTTCAATAGTTCTTTAAAAGTCTAATATTGTATATGCTTATTTATTTTTCTACTAATGATCAGTGCTACTTACCCAGATGAATTGCTTTAGTAGTTTCTCTAAAACAATGAAAAGATGATTTAAACCCCATGCCCGCGGCGTTCTTTCTCTTCAAAAAGTTAAGGAAAGATGTGGACTCTTGAGTATTCAGAAAGAATGTTTTCCTTTAGTTTATTGAATTACCAGCTTTCAGAGGAAAATTAGGTAGCATTTGGTCAAAATAAGCCCTTTTGGCATGGGGAAAGCGCAAGAGGAGGAGCATAGTGCTGCCTCAGGAAGGGATTCCCTGTGGCGAAGTGAAAGAGAAATAGAAATAAATAAAATTTATGCATACAGGACCTTTATAGTTAGCTATAGGTGAAAATATTGTTTTGTTATACGACATATTAGTATAGGAAGGCTTATATAATATTTAAAACCAAATGAACTATGTTTTACATGCTGTAACCTCAAGAGAGGTTTCTGTGTTTAACCCTAGTCAAAGACATTAGTACACATCCTTAACTAGCTCTAGATGTTGAATGCCCTTTTAAATTTTGACCAATGACTACTCCTGCAATATGACATGATAGAACTGTTGGCTGTACAATTTTTCCCCTCTATCTAAATGTTAAACATCTGTCTCTCCATTTATTGTCATCTCTTATTCATTTGCAGCTACCCTTACTCTTCTTCCCTTTAATCTCAGCCTTTAGCACCAATATCATTTGCAAGCATTCATCTCTACAACAATAATGCCTTAATCCCAATCTGGTCAAAATCAGCTATATATATTCTGTTGTATGGTCCCCGGGCCTTTGGTCTAGTGGTAAGAGCGCACCAAGTGATGTGTGGATTAGTCACACATCACAGGTTCGAATCTTGTCACAGACAAAAGCCTGTTATATAAGTGGAGAAGGGTGATAGGCAGGCCCATCATCCACTGAGTTTCAAACCGTGCACCACAAGCTATATTTATATATTCGGGTCTATTTTTTCTGAATTCTGACAAATTACGGGTTATTTAGAACTACGGATTCTTTAAAATTCACGCTTATCTCTAGACTGACACGCAATATCTAACCAAACTAGTAAAAGATTCTACCTAGTGTCCCAACAAGGACTAAACCGGCTATGCAGATACTTCGCGTCCATTGTGTTTAGTTGTTCATTAAATCCGCATATATTTCAAGAGGTAGGTCCATTGAGATGCCTTCCTCCATGTAATTTTAGATCTATCTCGTTCCCTTTTTAGTGTCCTCAGTCATCATAGTGTAACTCTTACGTATCAGTGCATTTAGAGTTCTACATGGAGTAGACGTGATCAAATCATCTTAAATGACTTTGAATTTACCTGCACCTTGGTCAAGTGTGATCTTTGGGCAGTTAAAATTTATATATTACAACAAGCATGTGACCCTTCGCGGACTTGAACTTTTTGCCGAGGTCTAGTGACCTTGTTCCTTCATAAATTGCAAAGTCTAAGTTGACCACCTAACTAGTCTCTTTAACATCCTTTTATTTGACCTGGTAGGTGAAGGATGTAAGGCCCCACTAGGGAAAACACGTTATTAAGAAAGAGTAGCTACATTTTCTCCCTTAGGCAGTTGCGCATTTCAACAAACTCATGTCCAGTGGTTTATTATTTACTATAGCTGTCTATTGGACACAAGAGTTTGTCTAATTAGTTTCTATAAGCTAAAATACATATGTGATGAAATCTTGCAAATATCTCTTTTGGTGTATCAGAGAATGCCCTTCAGAGTTGCGGGAAGCTGTTGCAAGTATAATCTTTGCAGCTCCAAGATGTTCAGATTTGCCAGATTTATTGCATGTCAGGAATCTATTTGCAGCCAAATACGGAAAGGAATTCATAGCCGCCGCATCTGAGCTTCGGCCTGATACAAGTGTTAACCGTACAGTTAATTAGCTCTCCTGTCTTCTTCATTGTGCTAATTATATATTTGCAGGGTTGACTATTTTAAACTGAATTTTATTCTTTGAACATTCAGATTGTTGAGAAACTTTCAGTCAGCGCTCCATCAGCTGAAATAAAGCTTAATGTATTAAAGGAAATTGCAAAAGAGTACAACGTGGAATGGGATTCTTCTAACACAGAAGAAGAATTGCGTAAAAAGCCAGAGGACCTTTTGGTACTTTCCTTTGTTAAATCTTCTAATTGTATGTATGTCTTGAATGTTTAGTCTTCCGTCAGAAGCTTGATCGTTGTCTGAATTAGGGGTAGGGTCCATGGTCCATCTCTATTTTCTTCTGGAGTTCGCGACTTGCTTTTCCTTTTATGTGATGTTAATGAAATGTCTAACCTTTGTTATGCACAAACTTAAGAATGACAGATTTAGCGGTTGTTACTGGACAGTAATAATATAAATCATGCAATATGCTAATGACTTGGGGCTGACACCTAGCTGCTCGTTACATATACATGCATGTTTTGCAACAAGGAAGGAGTTTAAAGTTCTGTAACTGGTTCTTATGCTGACACAGTTGAATGCATATGCATGTAACGATCTCTTAAATTGGTCAAAACCAGCCTTCGGCAATAGAAATTAGTTCTCGAGATTTGCTTGAACTAACATTTTGGACATTCACAAGGATCATTTCCACTATATTTCACCATGTGTTGGGACATTATTGATTTAGTCAATTCTTGAAACTCCCCCCCCCCCCCCCCCCCCCGCGACTATTGGACTTCTAGAGTTTTTTTGATTTGACCTGATATTTTATCTGATGCCATTATAATACATGTAGAATGGACCAAAGCAAATTGCCACACCTGCTCGGGCATCTGTAGAACCAAACACTCGTGATCATCCACCAACTTCTGAAAATACGGTGTCGTCTCCAAATGGCAATCCGGGAGCTAGAAGACTTGAATCTCCAACTTCTGTTACTAAAGCACCTCTATGGCCTACTGATGTATATAAACCGTTACTTGGTGACAGCAGTTTGGGCGCACCAATCGATATAAAGAAGGATACAAGACCAGAAACATCAGATGTATTAGAGAGAGCTCGGGCTGCTATTTCTGCTGCAGAGCGTGCATCTGCTGCTGCCCGACTTGCTGCAGATTTGGTCAACGTCAAGTTCAGTTCTTCAATTGTAGGGGATAGCAAGAGTTAGTGAAGTTGTTGTTTCGACTTTAGATCTGAGGTTTCATGCCTCTGTTTTTATGTGTGTTTGAGAGAGAGAGAGAGAGAGGGAGGGAGAGCGATAGGATCCTAATTCTAATTTCATCGTCATGGCAGCTTCTGCGGATGAGACACTGTTATAGAAGAAAAAGGCACATAATAAGTTGGTTATTCACTTCCTCGCTCCATCCTGATGTATATTTCGAATGTTTATACATATGTTGGTGTTTTTGTTATTCTCAAGTGACCAGTTGTTTGTAAAATATGAATTGTAAGAATTCTGAGTTTCATTGCTTAAGTAAAACTTTATCGTGCTTCATTCTCAATCTTATCTTTCAGTTGCCCTCCAGCATATATACCACCTGTGAATATGTGAACAGCAAGGTTCAATTCAACTAGTCCTTGCTCTTGGATCAATTTTTCTTGTCATGTTTTGGCTGCTGACTGCACTTAGCTTAGATGGTATAATATGGGATATAGTATTTAACTTGGTTTATAATTTCCCCCTACAATTATAAAGGGCAGTTTGAACCAAATATACAATCCAGTAGCATTGAAAAACCACTAATTTCTTTATAATATATATGTAAAGAAACTAGACATGGTTTCTTCAAAACTATGTGAACAAAAATCTCAACAATAATCCTAATGTCTTTTTGCACTGGAAGTCACAGATTGATATTTCTATGAGATCGTTGTAATATATATTTACCTATAGTGGAAGACAAAACTATATATTATATATAGGAGGTTACTTTCACCTAAATTAGATAGCAAAGACATTAAGGTCATTAAATTTATAACTTATAACATTATAATTCGAATTGTGACATATTGACAGCTCCAATTTTGTTTCCTTTGAAACTCTTCAAGTTCTATCTATTAGCTTAGCAAAAATAAGTATAGTGGTTCAATTTCTCGTTTTTTTTTCCGCATAAAATTAAAAGCTGAAAATGGTCAAAGGACTTTCAAGTGTGAGAAAATTATTTTTTTAACCAAATAATTTGTTAGTCCTTCATATGTACTTTTCTTTGTTTATTTGTTTGTTTTTGTTTCATTTTGCTATGCTTTAACTTTGCATTGGGCAGTTTTAGGATAAATGTATCTCGTTTTGTTAAATGCTTATTAGGTGATTTTCATATAGACGATTTTCATAGCGAACCTTGACTATTTTAAGACTATTATTGGCTAGTTATTTTTGTTGTCATCAACATATTGAAACTGGTGACTAAATGCTTCTACTTACTAAGAAACATACCTAGGATTGTGGTTTCTTTATATGCTGTGAAAATGGTTCTTTTTCAGCTAGGTGATGATGGTGCAAAAGTAAATTTAAGAATGAGATAAACCATTTTATCGCCAATTCTTTATTCTTATTTGTTTAAGTTAGTAAAATGAGTTCCATTTCTAGCCCAAATAGTTGGCACTAGAACTGTGATATTGCTACCTGACAGCAGTTGAGAAATTACACCCTCTTAAGTTTAAGTTTACTCTGTTGAGTGTTGATAGTTATCGAAAAAGAAAAGAAGTATATTCTGTTCACATAGGGAGATGACATATAATTGCATGGATAATCATTTGGTGGATAATATGTCAAGTTGCTGACTCTGGTGCTTAATGATTAAAGCTGGAATTGCAATGACCAAACGAAATTTCTTGACTTAGTAGGCCTTAAAACATCTGCCATTGCTTGGACCATCTATGGTGATTTGACATAATATAGAGAAGAAAACATATTTACAATGTCGGATTACTGGGGTATATATAGGGATGTTTAGTCTAGTTTCTTTGGCATTTCTTAAATAATTGATCGCCAGTTTTGCAGCTAACATGGAGATTTTTCTGTAATGTACAGCTCACTACTAGAAAATGGCTGAATTCCGACCGTTTTAACGGTCGGCAATCACGAATTTTCGACTACTTTCCGACCAAAATTGATCGGAAAAAAATTTCCGACCGAATCCGTCAGTGATTTCCGATCAAAGTAGTCGGAACGTTCAAAAGATCAGACGACCAAATTATTTTCAAATTTTCGATCAAATCAGTCGTAATAATATAAATAAAAATAAATATTTATTTAAAATAAATAATATATATAATTTCCGACCGAATCAGTCGGAAATTAATAATTAAAAAATAAAATTTATTTAATTTGCGACAGAATCCGTCGAAAACTGTTAAAAATTAATTAGTCTTTTTGTCATTTCCGACTTATTCGGTCGGAAATATGGGTATTTTTGAAAAAAAAAACTGGACAGCTGTCCGACCGTTTAATTTCCTTCAAAAATCAGTCGGATTTTTCTGTAAAACTGGGCAGAATGCTTCTCAATTTTGAGCTACACCACCTATCAAACAATTACAATACAATAATACCAACAACCAATCAATAAATATAACATCTAAACCAATAAATCCAACCATTAACACAATCTAAACCAACAAATCCATTAAACCTAATAATTTTGGGCACAAAAACATTCAAATAGTAGCCCACATTCAAGTTTTAAAACAAAACATAAACTCGTCTCTCACGATAAGTAAGTTTAGCTATTTTGGTTTGTTTGGATTGAATCAAGTATAAACCTCCCTGCTGAGATCAAAAGTGAACGGACAACTACACCCTACTACCCAATTTCAATTTGAAACAATTTTTTTTTGGAAAAAAAAAACCCTCACCTGTTCGCAGAAGACGCAACAAAATCCTTTCTTTAGAGAATTTTCGCCTCCTATGATCCCTGCAAAAAAAGCAAACAAACATATTAAACCACGCAAAACCTACCATACCACTTCAAAATAGAGTACTACAAATTAGATTCAGTTTGTTCATCCTCATCATTAGATAGATCATGCCCATGTTTTTTCATAAATTTCTACATCTTATTAACAAATGTTCCAAATTGTGAGTCCAACTGCTGCTTCAAATCATGAATTTCTTTTCTCATATCTTTCATTTGCTCTTGATTTTGAGAAGAATTGGGTAAGAGTAAGTTTGGATGACCTGTAGGTCGACGTACTCTAAGTCCGTAGACTCTGCCTGTGTTTACTCCACCCGCTGTCTTTGTTTACTCCACTCGCTGCCTCTGTCCTCCATTCTAAATAATATAAGTCTTTAACTATAATAATTAAATTTGAATAGCTTCTTAAATGTTCATATAATCAAAAATAACTAATAATTTCTCAAATTTATAAATTAATCTTAATGTTGAAATTAAAAAATTTAAATTTAATATCATTATAATAATAAAATTAACAAGCAACAATGAACCTAGTACAACAAGCTTTACACTAAAGCTTTAAACTATAACTAGTTAATATAATTAAAATCAATAAACTATAAAGTTAATATATCAATCCAATAAGGCATGTAGAACTTTTCATTTATTTCTAGATTAATAGCCCACGCTTTTGAATTGCAGCCTTTGAATTCTTCAAATTCTTAACAATCTTCTTTCTTCTATTCTAGTATACTTATATATAGTCCTCCATCCCTTTGGCTTAATTACCGTTGGAAGTGAAAGTGAAATTTTATTTTTCTTCTTTCCTATCGTTGTTTTCTCAATTACTTTATGCCAACATGTCACCTTTTTTATTTCGAAAATAAGTTAATCAATCGCTAAAGTTAGATTTACGATTTCTTAGCATATTCTTGTTTAACCCAAAATTAAGTGACTATTTATGACATTGGTTTTTTGGACAAATTGGGCAATCTAATTTACATTATAATGGTGTCAAAAGAATTTTGCAAAATAAAATCCCTATAGGAACAGCATATATTCTTCTCTCTTTTTGTTTTATATTAAGTATCATTCAAAAGCTAAAATCCATAAAATTTCAACCATACCTAATTCAACTAGCTAGGAGCCTAGGATGTTCATATATAGAAAATATAATAAGCCTACAACAACTAAAATTACTACAAATTTAACAATGAAAATAAGATATATATGTCAACAAACTTACCTCGACGAAAACAATGCAGGAGAAGAAATGTGCAGCTGCCACCGCGGAACCACTGCTGAAAACGAGAGAGAGAGAGAGAGAGAGAGAGAGAGAGAGAGAGAGAGAGAGAATACATTACCTATAATGAGGAGTATGGTGAAGAAGGACGAGAGTGAGAGAGGAGGAGGATGAGAGAAGGAGGAGGAAGAAAAGAAAAGTTTCTGTTTTTGGGGAACGGGGGTCGGGTAGGGTTATTAAAAAAAATCCGATTGATTCAGTTAGAATTGTCGTTATATATATATATATATATATTTGGAAAAGATCTACCAACCGAATCAGTCGAAATTGAAGTCAAACTGGTTTTTGCGCCAAATATTGCGATCGATTTGGTCGGAAATATGGTCGAAAAAAATTTAAAAACATATAATTGATATTTTAAAAAAAATTCCGGCGGATTGCGTTGGAAATTTCCGACAATTTGTTTCCGTCGAAAATTGCAGTCGGAATTTTATGATTTTCTAGTAGTGAGGCATGCATTCTGGAGTTCCCAAATTCAAGTTCAAGCTCAAGAACGAAGAACAAATCAACATTCAATGAGTACGAGTTCAAATTAAAGTTCGTACTAGTTGAATTCAAGGTCACCGTTCGTGGCAACAAATATAGATTCAAGATCAAGCTCAAAGGCCTTGAATTTATTTACTATCAAAAAAAAGAATCAGAGGATTCATAGAGATTGTAACACTCAAATTGTTTAAAATCAAATACTACGATTGTTGCAATATCTTTCGGTCTTGATTTTATTTTTTCGACGCAATTTATTAAAATTCTGGCACGCCAAGTGGGACAATCTCTACCTCTCATCTCAACTTTTCAATCACCAAAGTTCAAGAACATCAAAATAATTTCGAAGAAAATCGACTCCAAATCAACTTCCACCAAGGCTGCTAATTTCAGGTTCTATGCTGATGTGGAAAGCATCCTCGATGTTACTTTTGAAAGTTTTGGACCAGTTACGAGGAGCAAAGTAGACTCTTTAGGACAACAAGCTCTCCAAGTGTCGTCCGTATCAACCCCTATTTTCAGATCTCCATCCTCAAAAGAGCTAGATCCTTTACGAACGTACCCGAAGGAGAAAGAGATATTGCTGAAAAGATCAAGAAAATTCTAGCTCTACTTGACCTCTCCAGATCCAAGAACCCAGCCGCGAAGGACGATGATGATATTTCAAGTGATAAATCCTCCCCGCTTACACCGCATAATGTGAGCCAATCGAGGATCAATGTGTGTGACAATACATGCTACCCTCAATTGTCCACAACAATCATGCAAGCCATGGTGACAAATGCTTCATCTGTGGAGGAGTGGTTGGCAAACTTGACGGAAGCAA